AAAGCTGAAGTTAAGACATATTTAAATTTGCCATAGGGATAAGCAAAACCCCTAATATACCAAGTCCTGCAATATTAGAACTAAGGGGCGCTTATCAAAACTGGCTGGAGAGCCATAGCAGAGCAATTTAAAACAGGAAAAAAAGAACTTCTTTAAGCAGCAGGCAGAGAACTTCCGGGCTTCATTGCCTCAAGAGATTGTGGAGCCAAGAGGTATCAGCAGGTCCAAAAGAAACAAATTCATCAACAGCAGGTTCATTAACAGATACTAGAAGGAGCGGTCAGGGAAGTGCCTTCTAACACCCCTAATTGCATGCCAGTAGGTGCTGGAGGAAGACAAGGGGAGTGGAGCTCAGAGGTTCTTGCTTTCCCCAAATAGCCTCTTATCGCCACTGTCGAGGACCAAGCACTGGGCTAGATGGCTAGTTCTGACACAGTAGGCCATTTCTTTTGTGGTTTTTATTTTTCTAGCAGTGAGTGGAACCGCCCTTGAAATGACTTATCAGAAGTGCAGGGAGTTCTGTGTAATTGGAAATGTTATGTCAAGGTATGCTTTCTTTTAAAAAAATGGTACAAAGAGGAATTAATTCAAGTAAATCTCATGGCCCACATTAGGGAGGAGTTCAGATTAAATCACAGTGCTATTCCCGTCTGGCTTCATAATCTATAGATCTATGAAATTTTCTTGTAGGATAATAATTTTTCAATTTCAGACTTGCTCCTCTTCTACTTGGCCTTTTATATTTTTATCTTTAAGATTTTTAAGAGGGTCCCTTACTACCTCTCCCCTTATATATAGCCCTTGTTTATCTTTAATAAATGGATAATTGTACTGGCTTTATGTTGTTTACTGTTCTTCACATTTTTTCATCTTCTCTGTGTGCTCTACACAGCACAAGAAGGTATCTTTCAATAAAGACTGCCTGACAGTGAAGATGAAGAGAGGGAGCAGAAGAAACACAGACAGGGAGTGAGGGTCAGAGGAAGAAAGAAAAGACTATGGGAAATGTTATTCCTGAAGGATTTAAAAATAATTCACTATAATTTGGAAAAGTCTTTAAATGTCAGAGAACACAGATAACTATTTTAATGAATTTATAATAATCTTTCTGATATTATTACCACTCTCATTTTTATAAAAATAGCTGATCATTTAGATTTAATTTAAATACGCTGCAGTGGTAGGACATAGTGGTAATGTATACTTCCATCTCTCACCTTGCCGTTTTGGTGATATTACAAAAGACACAGGAGTAATCTTTAGCACCAATTGGAGAAGGCAGTTACTGTGATGTTCATATGGTACTACTATGTTTAACAAAAAGATATTTATTTATCCTTGTTAATGATTATCCTATGAAGATTTGCATATGAGCATGGTTTATTTAGCTTCAAGTCATTAAAGCATGTTATTTGATTTAAAAATATATACATAATTGAAATGGTTTTTATAGTCCTTGTTCTGATACTTATTTCAGGAAGAAGTGTGATAAATAAATTTTAGAGGTGGATACAGAGGAAAAAAGTAAACAACTGCAAAACAATATAATGCTAGCAGGTGAAATGAGATCTTTTTTAAAGGACAAAGTTACTGAACATATTCAAGTTTATATTTATGGAAGGTATGGTACAAACTGAAAGCATCTTCACAGAAATAATTTTTTGATGGAAAGAAAAAAAAAGCCTTTACAAGTTTACTTCTATAAACAAACAAAGAGAAAGAGGAAAGCCTTTGAACTTCTATTGTTCTGACAACAATATTAGCTATGTTTTATCCAGCATAGTGTTTTTAAATGCTATTAACTTACAGACAACACTGTTTATGTTTTTTTTTTTTTACTGAATAAGTGGTGGCAAGAGTGGCGAGAGATAACCCAGCTGAATATTTTGTTGGATGAGTCAGTCCTACTTGAAAACAATGGAGAGCTCTTGGAGACTGAAATACAATAATCTCTACCAAATGGCATTGATACTTGCTGCTTGTTATGTTTCACAGTAGTCAGGGAGAAAGTGTGTTAAAGCAAGAGATAAAAATTCTAGCAGTATTTAGAACCTCAATGTTGGTCAAGGTCTAAGTTTCAATGATAATTCTGATTTCTGGGGCAAAAGATAAATCAGAAACGCGTGACAGACTTGAATTTTAGAAAGCTAGATGGGGGTGTCAGCATCCTGTAGAAGTGTCCTGCAGAATATCCATCAGCTGGAAGCTCTGCATTAAAGTAGGCACCATGAACATTAAAAGCACCATGGTATGGCTAAAATCTTTATTTTAAAAGATTCAGGAAGATTGCAAGTTTTGGTGAACCAAGTTAAAACTAAATAATACTGTAGAGCTGGCCTATCACTTGAGATGGATCAGAGCCAAAATGCTCTACCTAAGCTTCAAAGCATTCATAATCTCACCAGGGATCCCAAACCTCTCCCTCTTGTACAACTGACTTAACCCAAACTTCAGATTTACATGCTGGCAGACAGTGAGAAAGAGTAGTTTTTAAGGTTAGGGCAGAACATTTACTTCCCTTAGGCAGTGCTGTATTTTCCACTTATGCTGAACTACGCTTAAGCTTTTTATCTCCAAAGGTTGACTGGGATGTTCTCAGGCCTGACTCTGTTGGATGCTGAGTGCTTTGCGGGAGGTGCTGAAAGCTTTTAAAACCCATTGACGTCATTGCTTCTTGATGGCTTTCAGCACTTTTGGATGGTGTGTGTGGGAGGGGGTGGCGGAATCAGATGCCAATGTATTAAATTTTCCTGACACAATAAAAACCCATAATCAGAGCAGATTGACTTCAAACCTTAATTCTCAACAAGAAAAAAATGTTTTGCACGTTTCTGCCAGAAATAAGTAGCACACTATAAGTAAATCACATTGTTTATACCACTTATTCTATGTGCAATGAAAACAAGAACAGCTGTTCCTTGACTGCTCTGCTTGTAACAAATGTGCACTGTTAGCTGTTGTAATAGCAAAGTTTACAAGATCAGCCATCCTTTTCCTTACACTCTGTTTTTCTTGGTATTTATAAAGTCAGTTATTAATGTTCATTCCAGTTTAAAAAGTGCCACAAAATGTCTCCGTCGAGGACAAAGAAAAACCCAAACAAACAAATAAGAAAACCAACCCTGAAACCCCAAATCCCTATGCAGTTTTGGGGGTTTTTTTGAAAGTGGGAAAAAAAACTTATCGGACAAAGTTTCCTTCCACTAGATATACACAGTCTCCAAGTACCAGATAAGATAGCTTGTGCATTACATATTACAGGACAAATCCTGGCTCCATTGACAGCAATGGTATTTTTTTTCACTGATTTGAACAGATTCAAGAAGGTCAGAATGGGACTGGAATGGGTTCTCTGGGTCAGCAAACATATCTTACAATCTCTTATATAAGTTTATTAAGTCTCACCTTGAAATCAGTTAAATTTCTTGCCAGCAAGGTTTTTCTGAGGACCACACGTCTGACACATGGGAATCTACTAATTTCCAGCCTAAATGCACTGAAAGTAGATGATAACTATTTGATCTCATACCTTTTACTTTAATAGCTGTTCTTCTTCGGCTCTTTTTTATTTCTAGACTGAGGAAGCCAAGGCCTCTTCTTTTTCCGTCTCCTCCAATAGAACAGATCCTAAATTTCTGTGATCCTTTTAGTGGTCCTTTGCCCCTTTCCAGTTTGAATTTCTCTTTTTTTGCAACAAAGATGTCTTCAAAATTTACTGTTATATCCAGGTGAGCTCTCAGCAGTATTTTGTACGAAAGCAGCCAAACATCTCCTTCTCTGTAGATATCCCTTGGCTGATGTGGCCAGGATGACATTTACACACTCCATCACAGTGGTACCCTGACAGTCCATAGACATCTGGTAACAGACCAAAAAAAGAGGTTTTCTTATGTCATTTTCAAATTAAATGTATTTATGATAGTTATATTCATATGTTCTTGTACTGACACTTTTAACTTTCATAGCGCTCTTTCTCACCCTGGTGTCTACCTCTCAGTGTGATTTTAAAGGACAGTTCTAGCTCCTCTCAGCTGAAATTCTGCCAATTATTTTCTAAAGGTATGGAACCAATATACATGATTTTCACATGCAAGGTAATACTCTCTGCAATTAACTTTAATTGTATGGCCTTATGGTCTTTCAGTATAATATTCTAAGATTTCTTTTTTATTGCCAAAGCTGACCTGCACATTTTTAGATTCTCGCCTTTGATCCTAAGGGTAGAGACTGGGTACATTAACACTGTAGCTCCACCTTAGATTTGGGATAGCACCAATGGCAAAACCGAAGTGATGAAAAGTACTGGCTATTGCTTTTTAGATTTGGTTATATTTTTAACACATAAAGAAAGTAATTTGGGTTCAAGTGATGTTTTAAAGTTTTAAAAGAGAAAAATGCAGCAGCTCACCAGAGGATCTAACAGAAACCGGAGCTGTGCTCGACCAGGTGCAGCTCAGATGGGCGCCCATAAATGGGCCTTGTCCTGGTGCAACATGGCAGCTGCCGCGGGTGCGCTGCAAGCGGCTCCCTGATTCCACCACATCCAAACCCTTGCAAACAGGGCGGCTGCCTTTAGTCTCATCCCAGATGGGTGTTACAAAGGTCTGCCCGAGGGAATCACAGGGATGCGTCTTAGAAAAGAAGGACAGAAGGAAAGCCTGACTGGGACTGGGGTGTGTCACCCCCGGCCTGTGGGGCCCAGCCTCGCCTCTGCCCATGGCATGGTTTGTAAGGCAGCGCCACCATACCCACCACACTCTTCCTCCCCCCCAAAATAACCAACCACAACAAAAAATGAAAAAGAAAAAAAAAAAAAAAACACAAAAAAACCCCAAACAAACAAACAAAAAAACCCCAAACAAACAAAACAAAACAAAACAAAACAAAACAAAAAACAACAACAAAAAAAAAAAACAAAAAAAAAAAAAAAAAAACAAAAACACAAAACACACTTCCCCCCTCCGAAACTACATTTCCCAGGGTGCCTCCGCACTCCCCGGCGCCCTGCCCCTCACATGACAGCTCCCTGGCCGCGCCATGGCGGAAGCCGAGGAGAAGGTAGAGGCCGTGAGGGCACTGTCCCGCCGGCGAGGGAGGGGAGCGGGGCGGTGGGGAGCCGGGGCCGGGGCGGCCCCTCGGGAGCAGCGGGGCGAAGGGACAGAGTGTGTGTGGGGCCGGCGGCGGGTCGGGAGCGGCGCTTGGAGCCTGGCTGCGCCGGGGCGGAGGAGAAAAGATGGAGGCGGCGGGGCGAGGCCGCCTGTCCCCGCTGCGCTGCGCGGATGGGGCTGCCCGAGGCTGCCTATCGGGTTTTGTCTAAAAAAATAAATAAATACAAAACCCCCCCCCCCCAAAAAAAAAAAAACAAAAAAAACCCCAACAAAACAAAAAACCCCACGAAGACGGCCAGAGGAGGCGGTGCAAGCCCTGGGGGCTCCGCTTTTTAGATAACACCCGATGCAGGAACCTGAGTTTGGGCGGGAGGGAGGGGTTTGGAAATGCAGCGGGCACCACTGCGGAGCCAGGAATGAAGAGCTGAAGGGCCCGTCTGAAATGGTTGAGGAGCTGTCTTTTACCAGGTGGCACAGGAGACATGAGCAAGTTCATCTCAACGGGGGAGTTTTCTTCTGAGACAAAATTTGAGGAGTTTGGTGCTTCTGACCCGTGGTTCTCTAAAGTGGGTGTCCTCCTAAAGCTCCCCCTGCCTAGACCACTCCCTCCCGAGAAAAAAAAAGTAAAGCAAGAAGTGAAGTTCCCAGTCCTTTCAGATACTTTCTCAGTGTTTCTTTGCTGAGCCAGGACTTCGACACACAGCAAGGCTGTGTGATGTTTGTTTGACTGCCTGAAGGTGGGAGAGTTTTAGAATTCTCTGAAGCGAATTGGCCATAATTGGAGATTGACATCTGGTTTCCACCTTTCCTGCTGCCAGAGGTTTTGTTGGGAGGGGTTGGCTAATGCCCTGGGTTGGTGACTTTTTAACTGTGGCAGCATTTGAAAGGGTTCTCAGGATAAAAGGAACTCTGACAAGTCTTATTATCTAAGAATATAATAAATTAAAACAGCTTGTGTTTTGTTCTCTTTGGACTAAGGAAAGTTACCTTATTCATTCATTTCCTGTGGGGAGCGTGTACACCCCTACTGAAAGGGATGTGTATGTTGTGCGTGTAGGTTTCTTTGAAACCCAGGTTTCATGGTTTTTCCCCTCAACAGCTTTAAATTATGGGCCTAAACATATAGTGGATAGCATCTGATGTCTGTAAAGGCAGGGAAGGGAAACCCCTACATCCATCATATTGGAAAGCCAGCTTAAGAATTTATTGAGAAGTTATGTTGGATCTGCTAAGTGAAAGATTATAATGATGAGAGATTACTTCACATTTCTGTGGTTTCCTCATCCGTATTCCCTTTGTCTGTTCTTAGGTTGCTTGAGCAACAGCATTTGCCAGCTGGCTGTAGTGTACTGCTGATTTTCCCCTAGAGTCTAAGACCTACCAATGACAGCTATTCCTACATGATTTGGGATTCTGCTCGTCTACAAATCCCTGTTGAGGGATTTCCTTTTCACAGTTACAAGGCTACTAAAAAGTAGAAGTGGGGAATAATCCTCTCTGTTCATGCATTTGGAGGGAGGGGAGAGGAACCTAACAAAACCCCAGGGCAGTCATAACTGCAGTTTACTCTTCCTGTTTGCCTACACGAGTGGGAGAACTCGGGCAAAAAGCTTTTCATCGTAAGTTACTAGCAAAATGAGTTAGTAAGTAAGTGTCAGTTCTAAGCACCTTCAGCTGAATTCTTGTCAGAGAACAAATACAGTTTCTACATGTCTTTCCTAGGCCAAGACTCCCTCTGAATTTTTGCATGTTATTTTCTGCAGTAAAACATAAAGGCCATGAAACATTTGCCTGAATTGGTATGCTGTTTATGAAATTTAGTAGCGGCAGTTTCAGTGACTTGTTAATACAGTAGGAATACCAGAGTACTTGTCCTAAATTACAACAGATTTATACTTTCTTGGTTCACACAGAATTAGTATTGGAACCAGTTTCTGGTGTGCCAGGATTTTGTAGACCAGTATTTTCCAAGGATGCCCTTGCATATAACAACTTGCAACTCAGTTTAATCTTTATTAAGTGACTCAGGCAGATGTAAGGATCAGCTGCTGTAACAGCAAGTGGGCTGTTACTCCACCTTGTACGTTTGTAAGTCTTACGTGATGTTAGATAGTGAGCTCGTCTTGAAAATTATCACTGGCTTTCTCTATATGTGTTCTCCTGAATAGCCAAAGCAATTAGAAGTATGAGGGGAAAAAAATGTAAGCAGTGTAGCTGTACTAGAAAGTCTCATGTGTACCAGCAAAAACATCACTTGCTGTAATTATTTTATTTGGGAGAATAGATTATTTTTAGAACAAATTCTGCTATTGTTACTATCTATGTAAATTATATCAAAGTAGTAGTGCTAGTAGTTTTGATATATTAAGTAGAGTAGGCAACCCTTGGTATTCAGGAGAGAAAGGTTTTTTTTTTTTTTTATTAGGAATCTGGTGATATTTTGCATTGGACTTTGTGTGTTGCTCTAGCTTGTCCAATAGGCTGGTAGTGTTACACCATGATATTTTAGTTCTGTCGTCATTTGGTTATTGTTAAGTAGAACTTAAGATGCACAAAGATTATAGTAACAAAATTGTTATTTTCTGAAAGGTAACTGCATCTTGTGAGTAGAGACTGTGAGACTGACAGACAAACAGTTGTTCTTGCAAAGTCAAGCCTAAACTTGAAAGGATGCCAGGGTTTTACTCCCTCTTCATCTTCCCTTGACTTTTATGTTCTTTCTACTTGCAATTTCCCAACTCATGTCGCAAGTATAGACTACACAGATAATCCTTCTAGAGGATGTATGTTTTAGAGGCAGACCTGGCTGTAGTGACTATAATGGAGGAAACATATGGCAGTAATCATGGTAACACCTTGCACTGAGTTTTAAATAGCGAGTAGAAATGTTGCTTTTCTTCTCCCTCATCTGTTGTGATGGTCACTAAAGGTGAACCTCCATTAATGCAAAGGAGGCATTTGCTTTCTGCCTAGAAGTCACAATCAGTGCATTTTATAAACACAGAAAATAAATAAATGTGACCAACTAAAAATTACACGGCTTGTCAGTGCATTAAATTTTCTTCCCTTTCCATTTCTCTTTACACTATTGGTAACTGTCTCTCTCTTTTTTTTTTGCCTTCTCTGGTAAAATTCTGTACCTATTTATCTTACTGTCCAAATACTACTTCATAAGATTTGAAATGCTGCCTTCTCTCTCGCTCATTCTTTGTATCATATTTTGTTGTTAAAACGCTTACATTCACTGTCAGCGTATTAGTTGTAACCTTTTATTGCTATTGATAACGATAAATACGTTAAGTAAATCTTCATTTTGCTGACCTCTTTGAGGAGGCATTGCATCAGCAGATTTTCTCAGTGGACAGGTGAGAGATTAGCAGGAGTTGACTTACAAAATTTTTTTTGTAGGACAGTAAGAATCATTGTCTTGCCAGAGAGAGATGTTTTAAAGGTACAGTTGCTTCAAAGGCAAGAGAAAGCCACGTGCCTTGCATTGACATGGAATGGGAAGGAGAAAGTCATTAAGTGCTGGATTTCTGTGGAAAATGGTTTGAAATTATTTAAGCTTAAAATATAACTATTAACGGCTGAATATTTGAATACCAAAGCTAGTTTGTGGATAATTTGAGAATGCTCTTTTGCCTTGCAAGTCAAGACATGGGCAGTTGCTTTGCAAAACTTGCTACAACGTGTGGAAGGAGGGAAGTTTGCCAGAGACAGCTTCTCAGATGATCAGCTCACTATCTTTTAGGGTAAATGGCAATAGTATCACAGTCAACTGGTGCCACTGAGTGTCAGTGTGGCACTAGATTGCAAGTTCAAGCATAAATTAGGTATGAATGGGAAGGATGGAAACTGAACTTTTGAGTTGCTTCTGCTTGGTCATCTCTTTCTTATTAAAGGTCTAAAAATTACTTTAAAAAGGGAAATACTGCTCAGTTATATTTGTACTTAGCTAATTTCCCCTTTGTTCTTGGTGTCATTTCCAGGAAACCAGGTCTAATGAGGAATCAACAGATGAATCTGAGGTAAGCCTGTTTAAAATGCTTCACGCTTGAATCTGTGTCAGTGCTAGTTCTTTGTCAGTATGGAGGGAAAAATACTACCTCAGTAGTTGTTTTTAGAAGTTTTGCTGGTACTGTGTAGCAAGGAATGTTAATATGGCTTTAAATTATTAAAAAAGAGCTGTGATTGCTATTAGAAGCTTCTTTATATTTAAAAAAACCCACAGTCGCCCCATTAGAGTAAAATGAATTATGTTGAGAGGCAAATTCAAGTGCATGCACTTCTGTTTTGATCAAATGAAAATTTAATTGTCAGTATAATTATATATGCAGTAATACTACATTCATGTAATTACTGTGTTATTTTAATAGCTTCATGGCATAGATTTAATCATGTTCTGTAGAGTCTCTGTTCTTGAGATCACATTTTGTCAAAAATTGTCTCACGTTGTGGAGAAGTCTGCCTACTCTGCTGTTGGTGCTGGAAAGAGTGGGCTGGGGGTGAGAAGAGGAGGGGAGCTACAGGGGCTTCAAGAATTTGTCCCCAAACAGCAATGTACTAACTGCAAACCTGCCATCATTGAAGGAGCCATGAGAGATCTGGAAAGAGATGCTTGACTTCAGTGTGATCTAGGACGGCTACAGGAAGGTAGAAGTTAGGGTGGTCGAGCAGCGTGGCCACCAGCAAGGACAGATGACACAGAGGATTAGGTATCTAAGTGAAAGTGGCTCCTAGGTATCTAAGTGAAAGTGGCTCAAAATTTTAATGGATTTGCTGTTAGGAAGATTTTCTGTTCTTTACCTAAGGACAAATCTTCATGCTTGGGATCTGGGTTTAAGCACTAAGCAGGCAGAAATCCTCATTTCCAAGACAGTGGGTACTGCAGAGACTGGATTCTGAAAAAATTTTTTTTCTGAGGATGGTGGCTTTGTTTCTTGTGGGTTAATTTTTTTCCTTCTGCCTTTCACGAGTGGCTGTCTACAGTGGCACCATAGGGCATTCCTGGTGAGAAGCAGGGATTTCTTTGGACCTTTAATGTCGCTATGCATAAGAGCTGCCTCGACCAGACTTTTTTTGCCCACTGTGAAGTGGTTTCATTCTCAGTGTTGCTTTGTGATGTGACATGTGCATACACAATCACTGGGCAAGGACTCAGTGTTTAGTAGAATAGTAATCCTCTCTAGGGTTGACATTCACAGGATAGTGAACACAAATACTTAGCTGTTGAGGCCTTTTTTTTTTTTTTCTTTAAAGCCTACTGCAAGTGAGAACTTGTTTTAGTGGTCTTTATAATGGCCTTTCAACATTTCAGCTGGTAGTAAATAAGTATTTACAGCAGAATTAATCATAAATGGGTTGCCAGGTTGTCAGGGTTTTGTTTGCTTTTACCTTAAGTAAAAATAGACATCACACAGCTTTCACAAAATTGAAAGTCATAAAATTTCAACAAGATCTTTGTTAAAGTTGATGTCTATTTTAATGTTAATTTCACATGTGTAGAGAAATTAAAAAGAAATTTTCATATTAAGAATGTAGACGCTGGATCTAAAGAACGATCCAGTTGTCATTCTAATGCTTTTCATGAGTTGTCTTTGAATAGTAAGTCCAGTCTGAAGTGTCGTGACACTACACAGGTAGCTGATGAAGAGAAACTTTTAAACCATGTTTAAAAACTGCTTAAAGGAAGTAGTGATCAATTTTCACAGTCTTAGTGTTTACATCACTTGTTAGACTGTTTCTAACGATCATTCAGATATAAACCAAAAATAGTGGTAGCATCACAAAGTCTAAATGCTGTCAGTGCTGGTGTATATTATTTGGAATATGGTCAGCAATAAGATTAAACTGATGGCTTCACTCTTAGCTCATGTGAACATAAAATTGTATTATTTTTTTGAGTGGCCTGTAGTTTGAATAATCAGGAATGTAGTTTATGGTAGCGGTACTAGAATCTGAGACTAATCCTTGCGGCCTGTGTCCAGTTTTACCCATTAGAAAACAATATTTACGGCATGGACTTTGTAGATGTCCTGTCATCATAGTAATAAAGATTTTTGCAATTGGTCTTGCACTGGTCAGTTGTTCAGTTGTTTTTTACAATTGGTCTTGCACTTAATTTAAATTCTCCCCAAAAAATTAAAAATTATTACTATTGGTTTTAGAGGGCACATGGCATATATCCAAATTATACTATAGAAGTATTTTCTATTATGGAGGAATGTAATTTTAAAATCAGGAATTTAGAGTAAATGATGTTCCTGTCTGAACTGGATATGTAAACAAAAATATGGACTAATTTTCTGTATTTTTTACACTGGTGTGCCATTATCTCAGTAAAGAATCAAACATTCAGTGATTCTGTTTTATGCAGCAACTCTTATAGTATCATTCATTCAGTAGCTCCTAGTAAATAAGGTGCTGATTCTAACTTGTTTCCTGCTTAGTTTGTTTTGAAGGACAGGCACTTTAATGAATGCAAGGATACTTATTTACACAGACTTAGTGGTAGAACTTTATAATAGGCCTCAAATGTGGGAGTCTGCAAAAATTGAGTGTCTTGAATGGATGTCAGCTACAAGCCCTTCATTTTAAGCTTGGTTCCAACTTCTTCTTGCCAGGAAGTTGAGTTCCTAAGGGTAAGTGTTTAATACCTTTCAGCTGTTTAGATCAGAGTGTGTAAAATTCAAAGGTGTTAATTAGCAGATGTGCTGCATGTGTTCAGATGCTAAGCAGACCTTTCAGCGTGGAGACAGTGGTGGTTATTGTGTCAGCACTTGTAGAAATGCAATAGATATTTCCTGGTAGCTACAGTGCAACTTAGACTTTTACTTCATATACTTATATATGATATGGGGGTATTGTAAGCTTTTCAATTTCCTACAGACAGACTGCTATATATTATACTAGGATATGATGAGGAAGCAGTATATCTAATACAGTCCTTTAATTCTCGGGAGAAAAACCCACTTGGATTGCTAAGTAATCCCGCTGCAGTCTTGAAGCACAATTATTTACTTTAGGTATCTTCTGGGTTTTTTTTTTGGTTTTGTTTTGGTTTTTTTGTTTGTTTGTTTTTGTTTGTTTGTTTGTTGTTGTTGTTTGTTTGTTTGTTTGTTTTTTTTAATTGTGCTTGTGAAGTATATTGCTTTACTTCTCCCAACCCTGTTGAATCATCAGATATGCTACATGTGGGGCTAAGCCTGATCAGGCTTGTTTGGCTGGAAAGTCCTAGTACAAGGTGGTTTCATTGGCTTATTTAATTTTATTTTACAGCACCTGGAGCTACATGTTTGGACTGTCACATTTGATGAGATCTTAAAAATAGACAACAAAGTAATCTGACTTTTGGCTGTTTGTAAACTGTGGAGGAAAAAACATCTGCATAAATTATGTACAGACTGAATCAGAATTTCTGTTTTCAAATTAATTTTCTTCCTTGCAATGTGTCTGTTTCTGTAAAAAGCTTACTTTTCTCAGTTGAGCTGTTTTCTGTCAGGCAGATACTTACGTTTTGCCAGCTAATTAGCAAAAGATGATGCTAATAAATGTATAAGTAAATAGTTAAGCTTTCTTCAGTAGCAGTGCAACATGATGAGGTGCACAATGGTATTTTTCTTTCATTTAAATTGATGTTGCTTCTCAGCTTGTAATTTTGTCCTTGAAAGTTTTGCTTTTAATGAGAGACTCCTGCTCTTACATAGTAGACTTGTGAAGTGATTTAAACAAATTTTTATTTAAATCTAAAATAAGTGATCTCCTTTAAAACAAAGAGTAATTAGAGTACAGTAGCACCCACAACAGCATGTTTTGTGAAATGCACCCAGGAATCACTTGCATTCTATGCAGAATATCTTTTAGTTCAAAAGAAAGCTTATTAAAGAGCTAACTCGAGTCTCCCTGAACCTCCATGCTGCTCTGCACCACTGTAGAGTGCATTTATTTTCGGTGTTGTATTTACACAGTATGGCAGAGTCACCATGCATTACGTTACGCTATGAGATCTTGTGAGGTCAGGTAAATGTTATTTTTGTTTTCACTGTATATGTAGTGCACAAAACACTCCCATTGAGACTTGATTTGTAGTGATAAAAGCCCAGATTGCACCCTGGAAAACTTCTGATCTGCATAAATTAGTAACAGTTATTATTTTAGGCAACTTGTGTGTAGCAGAAGAATGTTTGGAACCATGCCTCGGAGTCTGAGGATTTACAGCTTCTGTCTCAACCTCAGACTTCACCTACAGGTTAATTATGCTCTGCTGCTTTTTTGCCTGTGTGCCTCTCCCTGCCTGCCCGCCCCCCCCTTATAAAATGGAGCAATAGTTCCCTACCTCTGAGAATTAAAGTTTCCAACCCCATTTGTGAGTGTGAGGTACTGATAAAATTCAAGTCATGATGTATCAAAAAACAGAACCTTCCTACTTGCTGAGGGAATCAAAGCTAAGTTATCCACCTGGAATTCGGTTAGTTATTTGTTCAAGTTTTCTGCTCCATTCTGATATACTGCCGGGGCTACGAGCAGATTGCCCTTGTCCAGTACATACCTTTGTAGGGAGCACCTTTTCAAGACCGAATGTCACTGGCTACATAAAATGAGTGCTATGTCCCGTGAAATGATCCTCTGATTATGTAAGGAGTTTCACTGTTTTTTTTTTTTTTTTTTTTTTTTGTAGGTGCTGCACTACAGGGTAAATTTTTTATTTTGTGTTGTTGGCCTTTTAAAGAAAACCGCACAAAAAAAAAGCAGGGCGGTGCAGATGTTAATTTTCTGCAAAAAGTTATTAAAAATAATATTTTTTTAAAGACAGTTGCATTAATATGTGCATTGGTGTTTTTTTCACAAGGTACTTGTGTGTATGTTAGTCATCAGTGTTGCATATGTTTCCATTCTAGCACTTCCATTTTTATATCTCCTGGTCTTAATTTTTTTTGGCCTGTTTTTTGATCTTTGATCACTTGTCCCCTGTGAAAGGGGTAAGTTTGTTCATTTAGTTTGTTCTTTTTGTCATTTAAACACTATATTA